TGCTTCTGGAAAGAGCTTTCTTTTTGCTTCCACTTCCTTTACTTTCAACTCTTTGGGTTCTGCCACAGTCACATGCCTGAAATATCTCTTTAGCAAGTTGTTTGCGACTTCTGCATAGCCACATCCTTTGGCCTGTTCTCGAGCCACTTTCTGCAAACTGCAGCTTTTGGCCCTGCAAACACCCCTCCTTACTTTACCAGTCTCCTGCTTGCCCTGGTTTCCATCTCACCAAGTTCTGTTGGTTCTTTTTGATCTTCTTGAATATTACTTTCTCGCCTCCCTTGCTGGCCCTGTTCCTCTCTCAGTCCCCAGATTATTACTCAAATTTCTTTTTGTCCCTCTCTTCTTTTTCAAAGTCTACCTTGACAATCTTATTGATGGTCTCAGCTAAGGCTTCTATGACAAGGACTTCCAAACATAAGACTCAACCCGGCTGCCTTTCCTGATCATTTTGGGCCTGGTTCCCTGGAACTGAGGGCAGGAGCTGAGAATAGACACCCTTTAACACAGCGGGAAGGTTGACATTTGAGGGGCCAGTCACCAGGACACAAACTTGAAGGATGGGAGTAAAGATGGGTAGAGGGAGAGATGCAAGGTACAGGCAGGTCTGGTGTTAGTCCAAGATTCCTCTCATGGACTCCGAGTTCTGACCATGGCATGGCTCTCCCATGGGTTAGTACACTCCTGATAGGATCAGGAACAACACACAGGTACTGATTTCCAGGCCATATTTCCATGAGGCTTTGCCACATCACTCCACTGGGACTTCCTTCTTCCTTCCTCCATGCACCCTGGGCATTTGTTCTCCAGGTTTCTGTCCTGGGCTGGCTTCTTTTCATTTCCTTTTTCACTTTGCTGGGTGATCTCATCCACTCCCATGGCTTGAGATACTATTTTTAGGTTGACAACTTCCAAATATATATCCCCAGCCTAACTCCAGACCTATAATTCTACCTATAGATTTCATAAAAACCTAAAAATCAACATGCCCCAAACTGAAGCTGTACTCTTCTCCTCTAAGCTGACTGTGTTCCCCTTCGTGTGTTCTTTCTGCTAATAATGATACAACCAACCACCCAATCATCCAAGCCAGAAACTGGGGAGTCATCTTTGACTCATCTCCCTTCCTCCATCCATAAGTCAATTTTGCCTCTTAATCATGTGTTTATTTGTTCACACTTTTCCTTCTCCATTGCCAATTTCTTACTTATCCCTCATCATCTCTCAACTGGACATTCCAGCAGTTTCCTAACCAGTCACTTGTATCCAGTTTTACAACCTCCCAATCTGTCCACCATGCCACTCTATAATTTTCTTTTCAAAGTGGGAAGTTGATGGTCTCACTCCATGGTTGCACAGCTTCTCATTGCCTACCACCAGATAAAGTTTAAGCATGATGCCTGGCACCCAATCTCCTTCCTGACTTGCCCTCTTTCTTCTAGGATTATTGACAGCCATTTTCCAATTAGTACCTCATGCTTCGTCTACAACCAGTGGCCGTCTCCTGAATAGCCATGCCATTTCTTAAAGCCAGGCTTTTTTTTAGCTGGAATGCCCTTTCCCTTTATCCTGGCAGACAACTCATCCTTGAAAACTCGGTTCTTGTATCAGCCTCTCTTTGAAGACTTCTCTGCCTTTTTTTTTTGTTTCTCTGTATCCTTCTGCTACCACATCCCTTGTCCATACCTGTAATCTCACACTTAGAGGTCTGAATTGGAATTCCTTACTTAGACTTTTGTCTTCCCCACTAAAACTCTGAGCTCCTGGTGGGGCAGGACCTTGTCTCACGATTTGTCTCTCCTCCACAGCTAGCACAGTGCTTCTAAAACTATGTTCTTCAGAGTTCTAGTCCCATGAGTCATTGAAAAGTATTCTTCACGTGAGAACCTGTCAAATGTGTTTGGGGAAAGCTGCATATTGACATCACGTATGAGCTCAGGGAAGTCTTCCAGCAGAAACCTGTTTGATCTGGTGTAACTCAGTCCCTCCAAACCGCAGGGCAGGGGGAGACCCTTAAGCAGATCCTTGCGACATACATGCAAGGGGCAGCAGTGGAGATGTGCCCAGGGTGACCTGGGAGATCAGAGAAGGAGCCAGCCCAGGCTTGAGGGGCCCTGGAAGCATTTCCAGAGGAAGTGATCTCTGTCACTCGAAATAGGATAAGGTCCACTGTAGCCCCCAGGAGGGAAACTGTCTAGTATCCTAAAACTTCCAGAGACTAAACTTCAGGATTGGGTGTGAATATCAACGAGTTTTATTATACAAAGAAAATCAAGTCTTCCGGGATGCTCTCTTCTCATACTCATTCCTGTGGTCAGACTCAACTTTGAACTGGCCTGCCCTAGGCTGAATCATTTCCCTAAAGTCAACTCACTTAGCACCTCCATCTATTATCTTATTGTTGTTAATATTTTCCTGTCTAAGACCTAGTGGTCTCCAGTTGCAATACCTTAGGCTTTCTGAGGGCAGGCACTGGTCATTTGTATGGTTTCCCCATAGACTCAGAAAGTCCCAAGTACATAGTAGACACCCAATGAATGTTTATAGAATCTAGTAAACACAAGCATAATTTAATATTTCCTATCTGCATTGAGGCAGCAGAGATGCAAATGTGAGAGCCTGAGTCCAGGTACGTGGAGGCCCTGGGGGGCACTTTCTGTGACTGCTGGGGCTGAGGGGAGCAGCCCTTTCTCTACTGCTTCTCCCCAGAAGGAAGTGAATCCCCTCGTTCCTATTTAACTCCCAGACCAGTGGGTGGGAGAAAGGGGCAGAGTAGCATCTCTGACTTGGTTATCCAGCACATTCCCCCAAAGAAGGCCAATTGTTTTAAAGACATGAGGTTGTATTTCCGGTTTTGCACAGAGGCAACACTGTATAGGGGTTTAGGGCAAGCACCATGCTCAGTGCACGTAGTGGAATCCTGGCATGACCGCTTGCTGCCTCTGTGACTCTGGGCAAATTACTTGGCCTCTCTATGCTTCAGTTTTCTCATCTGTAAAATGGGGATGATAATCATAGTACCTACCTCGTAGGATTCTTATGAGGACTAAATGAGTTACAAATTATGTGGAATTTAGAAGAGTGCCTGGCATGTAGCAAATACTATGCAAGTGTCTGTAAAATCAGTCAATCAATATTAGTTTCTATTTTGGGACAGATCCAGGATGAGATAATGGATAATGGCCAGACAGTGCAAATTATCTGTAGTGCCAGAACCTACTATTTAAAAATAGTAATAAAACCTAGTACTCCTGTTGTCTATTTCCATCCCCCAAATGACCTACAAAGTGGGTATTGTCTTCATGTTTTATAGAGAAAACAGACAACAGGCTCAGAGGTTAACACGCTCAATGTTGTACAGCTCCGCATCAGGTGATAGAGCCAAATTCATGCCTGTCCCATGCTCAAGCCCAACCCTTCTTCATCAAGTGATGCTTTCTCTCATGGATTAGAGGCAACCCAGTACTTCCCATGACGTACTGGTGGGGAAGTGGTTTACAAACCTCTTAAATCACTCAATTCATGTCATATCCCACCTATATGTTTAGATTAATTAGTGCTTTTATTAGAAAAGTTAAACTTGCACAAGACATTTTTTCTTTTCACAACTACGATAAAAAGCCAGGCTCAGGGCCAGCCCGGTGGCATAGTGGTTAAGTTTGCACGCTCCACTTCAGCAGCTTGGGGTTCACTGGCTGGGATCGTGGGCTTGGACATGGCACCGCTCATCAAGCCATGCTGTGGTAGCATCCCACATACAGAATAGAGGAAGAGTGGCACAGATGTTAGCTCAGTGACAATCTTCCTCAAGCAAAAAGAGGAAGATTGGCAACAGATGTTAGCTCAGTGACAATCTTCCTCACACACACACACAAAAAGCCAGCCTCTTGCCTCTTTCACCTTCTCCATCCCCACCAGTTCCATTCCCTAAAGTCTTAGGTAACATTTCAAAAACCATTTATGCATTTGTAAACATCTTCTTTATAATATATAGAAATGAGATCATACTTCATACACTGGTGTCTTCCTTTTGTTATTTAACATTTTAAATACAGACACTCTTATTCATAGAGCCTTCTTGCACTTATACGGATGATTTTGTTGAAAATCTTTGCTTAGCACTTACAGCTCAGGGTCCCAGCCAGAATAACCAGATCCCACAGTCTCACTGGGCCTCGCATCCATGTCTAAGAAGAGGCCTTCTAATGTTCCTGGTGCATCCAGCACCCCCGAAGATCGGAGTAGGGGCCTGTGCTGGAATTCTCTTCTGTCGTTTTCACCTATCAGGGTTTTCTCTTGGAAACAGGAGTGTCAGTATTCAACAGAGCTTTGCCAAGGCCCCTCAACCCTAGCCCCTGTCTCTCTTTCTCTGTCACACACACACACACACACACACGCACACACTAGATCAGGGCTTCTCCTTTCTCCCAGCCATACGGAAAATTCCTGTATGTTCTTCTAGGAGGACAGATACCCTTATACCAGCGTGAGTGGAGCAGGGGATCAGCACACTACAGCCGACTCATCTTAACCATAGAATAGGAGAGCTGGAGGCCCCAGAGATAACTTACCTCTCCCTCTCCATTTGACAGACAAGGAAAGCAATGCCCAGAGAGGGTAAGTAATTTTCCCTAATCCCACAGCAAGTGGGTAAACCCCCAGTAATAGAACCAGCATTGTCTGAAGACAGGTAAAGTCAGGTGCAGGAGGTCACATGGGGTAGCATGGATGACAATCGTCACAAACATAGAATTAATTTAGAGGTGATCATGATGATACCAACAATATTTTTCAAGCTGCCATTCAGAATATAGAATTGTGAGTAAGTCTACCTCCATCTCTGGAGAGGATGTTTCTTTCAGAAAAGATCTATGAATTTATAAACATTTAAAACATATATACACATGAGATCATACTTTCACAGCAATATGAGCTTCACTGCTGACATCCCCAATGTACAGATGAGGAAAAGGAGGCACAGGGAGTGACTCAGCGCTCACCACAAGAATCTCCTGGATGTCTGCCTTCGCTTCTGTCAGATCCACTTGGTTGAATTTCTATTCAGTATTATTACTGAGGTCTTATTGTCAAGAACAAGTTCTCTGAGTTTCCTGCTTATTTCTAAGCTGGATAAAATGTGGGGTTTTTTTTTTTCTGTTTGCTTTTTCAACCTTCAGCTTCCATGACCTTAAAAAAAAAAAAAAAAAAAAGTGAGCACAAGCTGAGCTGGTCTAAAAGCAGCCGTTTGCAATGTGATATGGGACCTGGACTGCCACCAGCGAAACGGTGGTGTAGGGTTCTCTAAACACATTTCAACAGTTTTTCCAAGTGGCAATTGGTTTATTTCCAGTGAAACACTTGAAGACGTTGAATTAACAGTACGTTTCCTAAACTATTGAATGAGTGATGGTAAAATGGCAGTTATATGTGTCAGAAGGGGAAACGGAGAGCTAGTGGAATTTTTTTTTACTTTGAAGTTTAAGCACCATTTTAACATTTCTTGTATTTAGCCAAATGCATTTTTAAGGTTAGAACTGGTTAGTACAACATTCCTATACTCCGCAGTTTTTATTAAGATCGATATTTGATAGACCAGATAAATTCCAACATCACTTTCTGCTTTAAAATTTATGATTCTCTATAAAAGGAAAGTCATTTGCTCTCTAAACCTGGAAAACCTGGTGAACTATGTGAACCATCTTGGGCAAGTGTTTTTGAACTGTTTTTTTGTTTGTTTCAAAACATTTACTGTACATATGCAAAAAAATGTATTGTATTATCCTTTGTTTTACCAAAAGCATAACACCATTTGTCAGTGTAGACATAAGGAGAAATCTTTCTGTGTGAGAATATCATAGAAAAGCACAGAGGAAATGATGGTCCTTTCCAAGCCTAAATGGTAGAATTATGTGATTTAAATCAGTCAGGACTAATCTCACAGATTTTGGGTGTTGCTCCCTTTCATACTCTCTAACCTCCCTTGCCTCTTCTATCAAAGAAGGGAGAGTAAGTTAGGTAAATATGACTAAATTTATAAGAGTGTAAGGAAATGCAGTATAACTTTTAAGGTCCTGCTTTAATACCTGTGACTAAGGAAACATTAATTGTAGTGTTAAATAAATCTTGAGAAGATTTCAAAGCAAAGTAGGCTCTTGGTTTCATTCCATTAACTTAATATCTAGGAGTCCCACGCTATCAAGGATAGCTCCTTCTCACTGGCTGTCCTCAACAGTCCCATCCAAATGTGACATTTTAGTCCTTCAAAAGTGGCATTCAGGTCCCTTCCCAACCCTTCCACATGCCTCCCATGTTTCCTTCCGCCAGCCCAGTCAAAGTTCAACCAACATCTTCCCTCTTCTTCAAGAAGAAGAAGATCTCCTGGCTGCCTGGCATTGCTCCCTTGATCCAGAGCCTTAGTATGACGAGCTGAGGTCTCTCCACCACTCCCTGCTGGCCCGCAGTCATGGTCACTGTGACCCCCTATAGCATTTTTTCTTACTACCTTGGCCAAAATCCCCATGTCCACCAGTGTCTTCACCAACACAGCCATGCTTGCTTTCCTTTGCTGATGCTTACAAAAGTCATGCCTTCCCAGTTCCCGCCAAATTCCCCGTCAGAGCTTCTTCTGCTGTCTCTAGGATATGTTAACCACGGGTGATTTTGCCACTCCCTCCCCACCCAGCATCATTTGGCAATACCTGGAGACATTTTTTGGTTGTCACAACTCAGAGAGAGGAGAGACTTTGGCATCTAAAGGGTAGAGACCAGGGATGCTGGTAAAATCCTACAATGCACAACCCTCACAACAAAGTATCTGGCCCCAACGTCAATAGAGCTGAGGTTGAAAAACCCTGCTCCAGGAGATAGCGGAGGCCTTTATTCTCTTTTTGCACCTTTGGCAGAAAGATAAAAACAAAACAAAATCTGTCCTCCAGGCACGCACCTGGAACCCACTGTTATCTCCCTGACTTCACAGCTCAGGAGTGGAGAAAACAAGTGGGATCTTGCACAACCAGCCTTTCCATTCCTCATGTGGGTCCTTCTCCCACCTGGGCAGGGGCTGGGACAGAGGGCTCCATCTGGGCCGAAGGACTCATTAGGATGAGTGGTTTTCAATCCTGACTGCACATCAGGTTCATGCCACTTCAAATATTTCAAATATTTAGAATGCAGATAGTCAGAATTCAAATTGAATTGGTCTGGGATGGGGTCTGGGTGATACTTTTCAAAAACTCCACAGATAATTCCAAAGTGCAAACTGAGCTAGTAATGCCCTCGACTGGCAGCCTGCTCAATGTGGGGAGAACAGAGCTCCCCAAAAAGTTGTAGGACATTACTCATCTGGGACCCTTTGGCACCATAGGACATCCAACCCTCCAGTAGAAGGAAAGTCTTTTAACTGTGTGGTCAGCCCGGGTCATTTGGGCAAAGTCAGATTATTTGAGGGTCTTCGTTTAGAGTCTTTCCATATCTCAAACTGGGGCTTACACTAATTTTTAACATTTAGTAAAAACAGGAAAAGAGGGTAAATCAAAGTTTAGAGCTATCTTCATAATTAAGCACTCTCTGCTAGCTATTTATTTGTCTTGAGGAAAAATGCCTTTTTCCTCTCGTAGAAAGATAAAATAACCCTAAGTTAAAGCTCTGAGATGAATTTTGGTTTATGAAAAGTAATGAGAAAGGATCGTAAATCACAAACATTGTCTCTGTGAAATATGACCAGTCCAATTCTGTACATTTCCTCCCTGTTTCAATACAATGCAGTCTTTACAAGGCAAATTACTCTAGCATTAACCTGGGAATCAGTACTGTGCTTTCACTGATGAAACTAATAAAATAAAAATACTTCTCAATGCTCAAGAATCTCATTAAATAATCTGTAACTTAAGTAAATCCTATCTAATTTCTGTTTCTTTTTTTTTCTTACTCTTCTGCAGCCACATTCTCAGCATTCCATAGTAGAGTAACCATTGAAGCCCAAGTTGGGAAGCCTGAAGTCTAATTCACGTCATGGTGCCACTTTCATAAGTCACATAACTTCTCTAGACTGTTTCCTTGTCAGTAAAGTAAAGGTGTCACCAGGTAATATGTAAGATCCCTTCCAGGTTTAGGCATTAGCAAGAAGGCAGATGACGAGTTTCACAGCCCTAAATAAGAATGAATCGCTTGGTTTTCTGCCTTGGCATATAGTATGGAAACATGGTATAGATCAATCTCAAATGTTTACTGATGTGACTCTATCTGCAAAAAATGTAGGTCATTGCTATTGAGAATTCAAAGAAATAGCAATTATATCTCAAAGATTTTACTATCAATGAGATTATAATTTAGTTGAGGAGATAAACAGTTACACCACATAAAAACATTCAGAAGTGCCAATTGCTATTTCATTAAACCAGTGAATATTTCTGGAGCATCTATTGGATGAATTAGATCTTAACCTAACGAGTATTACAGATAACAGTGCTGCTGTGTTTAGGGAAAAGTCATGACTTTTCTTCCCTTATATAAGCTACTACAGTAACTCTTAGTGCTGTGGTATAATCTACCGTCTCAAGTATCTCGCAAGGATCTAACTTACTATTGTGGAATTAACATTTGTTTATCCTACTCCCAGATAATTCTAAAACTTCTCTCCCTATCATCTGCTCCTCCAACTGAGGTGATCATCTCTCTTGCATTCCACTGAATCTCTCTAAGTTGAGAGCCGGTGGTTGTCAGTAATTTGGCAGCTAATTTAATTAAATATGCATTAATTGAGTACATAGTAGGATGTTTGCATCTTGAGCACTGTGTTAAATGCTGACAATACAAAGAGTAAATATTATTTATAACTTGCCCAGAGAGTTCATAGTCAAGCAGGGAAAGATACACAGAAATAATTAGATTGTGGTACACTACAATAAACACAATAAGATCTGTTCAATGCTCAAAGGTAGCTCATTCATTCATTCATTCATTCATTTAACAAATATATATTTAGTGCCTATTTCCTCTGGTCACCATCCGAGGCATGTCAGACACAGTCCTTAACCTTCTTATGGAGCTTGCAGCTTGATGGAGAAATAGACAATTAACAAGTGAACAAACAACAAAGACAGTATGTAATTTCCAAAAATACTAAGTTCTACAAAGGAAACAAGCAGGGTGCAGTGATAATGGAAGGGTGGACCTACACTCTGGAAGTTTTCTCAAATGTCTCAGCTGAGACCTGAAAAAGAGAAGAGCCCATGATGCAAAGAGCAGAGTCAAGAACCCCTACCCTCAACTGCCCAGGTCAGAGGGCGCAGCATGGGCTAAGGCGCAGAGACAGGAATGAGCATGGTGTGTTGGAGGCCCTGCAATGGGCGTTGTCGTTAAAAAGGAGAGTGGTGGAGATGAGGCTGCAGGTAGATCGTGCAGGGCCAGGGACCTGATATAGACCAAGATAAAGAATTTTATTTAAAGCTTGATGAGAAGTCATTGAAGAATATGAAATTGAGGATGGTGATGATCCATCGAAGTTTTAGAAAATTACTCTGGGTGCTAAACAGAGACTGTATTGGAGTGGGATATTTGTGGTTAAGGGGAGACCATATAGGGGAGACCGTATAGGATGTCGAGGTGACCTGGACTGGGTTGGTGGCAGTGAGCATGCAAAGAAAAAAAAAGGCTGGATCTGAGGTTTGTTTTGGAGAAAGAAGCAATAGGACTGTGATGGATGTGGGGAGAGCGAGGGAAAGAGAAGACCCACTTGAAGGTGTCAAGGAGGCCACTGCACACACGAGCCTGAAGCTTGGGGAAAAGCTCAGGGTTGGGGACAAAAATAAACAAGCCTGTGACATTTGCATGGTGTCAAAGGATAGGAACAGATTAAGTCACTCACAGAATGAGACAGAGAGGGAATCCTGTCCTGAGTAATTCCAACACGCACAGTAGAGAAACAATGTGCTGTGCTCAAGGTCCCTTAAATGCTTTTGTATCACCAGGGTATAAAAAGCAGCGTGATGTGAATGATGGATCAGGGTACAGCATGACCATTTTCTGTTTGCACAGCAGAAAGATTAGAAAGTAAAAATCTCCTTGATCATAGGGGAGGAAGCGGCGAGATTTCCTGGGCAGCTAAGGAGGCACAAGCCTCAGGTTCCTTCCCTAGCACGGGCACCTCACAAGGCCCTGGATATAATTCTGTATTTGCAATTTTATGCTTTTTTTTCTAAAGTGGGCTCCGAGATTACACAAGCTCGGGGCTCATAAACTCTAGCTCTGCCCCTGGTGGGGAAAACTAAGGAACAGACTAGAAAACAAAAATCACCAATGACCTGATGATTTGGCTGCTGACGGGGCCTCTTTAGGCTATCTTTGTGCTGGGTCAAGTAGAAGTTATATTCTTTTAAGAATAGCTTTATTGTACAAAGCTACTTCCTGATCTAGTCACAGGCACCTTCACCAGAAGCATCGTGATGACTGTGTGCAGGAGAAGGTAAGGCCAAGGTCAAGGCTGAGAAAATGGAGTTCAG